GTTGATATATTTTACTCTCAAATTTTATTATTTTGTTCTATATCACTATTTTTGTTTAAATAAAAGTTGGAATAATCTAGTTCATATATCTAATGATGGTTTGTCATGAGTCTCAAAAACACCTGTCTACTGTACTTAGACAACAACGTTAACATGTATCTAAAAAGGGTTGCAGTTGTATTCAATTTTCTCAACTTGTGCCTTTTTTTTTTAACTGAGAGTTGGAGCTTTGCTTCCTATACCCATGGCAACTCCACCTGCCCCAAAGCCCCGACTTGGGAGACATCAAGGGTTTTTGGTATTAAGCTTACCCGAAGTGTCAAACTTAGGACCTCTAAGCTGGTATGACTGAGAGATCCCCAAGCCCTTCCCTCTGGGGGCTGAATTTGCTCAACTAATGTCTAGCATGTTTATTGTGTCAATAAGTGTTGGAGTCTCTAACAAACATGTTGCCGACACTCAAATGTCTATGCCTCATATTCTTTAAATTGGAAAAAAAAAAAAATTAATGTAAACCACTAACTGGCTTAAGTAATTAATTTCAACTGATTAAAAGTTTGCTTATTTTACCAAATCTAGAAAGTACTAAACTTGAGCGGATTAAAGTTAACTTAATGACCATATCTAGAAACGCTTGATATTAAAAGGTATACCTTTTCAAGTCTGTGTAACAGATAAGTCTTGAATTGTCGAACACCCCGTCCACTTGATGTTGGATCCATTTTATGAGCCTTCTCAAATGCATGGAAGCGGCCTACAAATAAAAGTAACAAAGAATACAATTTTCAATCGTGGTTTTAGCTAAATATCACTGAAGAAGGAATCAAAGCAAAATCATCTGCACCATCCATTTAATAACATGGGCACAGTTATGATAAGATCCAGATGTAATTTTCTTGTACTAAATCTACAGAACAAGAAGTTACGCAAAGGAAATTTTTTGCAAGTATGTCACTGATCAAAGATAAAAGGTAAAAAATTGAACAGCAGGAGGAAGTTAATAGATGAAAGTTTTCAATATCCATTCAGCATGCTCTCCAACTCATGAGAAGCGGGCTCTTCCACTCATATCACAGTAGACTACCAGGTAGATATAACTCCTGTATTATGAAAAGAGGGGCTAAACGGACAAAGAGGCACATTAAAAGTTTACAAAGTCAATATTCACTTGACACAATCGCTTGCAAACTCCACGGTTTGAATGCTTGGCATGAAGGAAGAACCTGTCTTATGTATGCCAATATGATTCAATGAAGCCATATTATTGTATTCTAGCGATTAGAAATGTCACAATAGGCGGAAAAAGAATCATTGAAGTCCTACAGTTCAAGTGATGGCACTGTTACAATCTTGCCTTGCCATGATAACTAAATCAGAGAGAGAGAGAGAGGAATGGTGGTGGCAAAGACAAACCATCCCTGCCTCTTCAATTAACCATCACTGAAGACATGAAAAATTTTGTAGTTAAAACCCCATTCTATTCTGGGTCATAGGCATTGTCTCAAAAATCACGGATGAGCCACTGTAAGAAAAATTGAATGTATGGTCTAGTCAACCTCATCAGCACAAAATCACTATTTTGTAGGTTGATGTTATTTGGATGTGATTGTAGGCACAAAATCAATCACCAGACCAGTATCACGTTGCTCCCTATATTGGTTATATTTTATATTGTCATTGATACAACTTAAATGGAGCTCCAATTGATCTCCCAAGCGTGTGAGTTGTGAAGTTGGATGCTAGAATGCAAAGTAAGTACCAAATGTGATCCTTAAAAGACAACTTCATGGAAGTTAACAGCTGAGTGTCTCAAGTATCAGTTGGACAAAAACAAGCACGAATAACCTGCTCATGGAAAATAATGAAGTAAAAAATAAAACAGAAGCATACAAGTTCAAGAGAGTCAAATTTTGTATTCTAATGATCAGGCACAACATAAATAGACAGTGGGTGACCAGAAAGTGGTTCAAAAACAGGTGATAAATCCTCCGTGCCGTTTTTGAGGTCTTCTGAAGTCCAACACCTTGAGCTCAAGTTTTTGGCAATGATTCTTTATTCGTCATATTAATATGGCTCTCAAGACGGTTATACTATTTGTTTAACTTGGATGCACACTTTCACTTTCTTCAGCACCTTCATTTAGACGGGCAAAAAAAATAACGTTAAATTCCTTGGGAATGACAGATGGCATTGTCGGAGTACAAAATTAAAAGTTTGGTTCCATTTGGAGGGATGATGAAGAGATGAGCATCTAAAAAGCCAACTAACCTCTTTCTGTATATTCTTGTATCATCTAACAATACCTGTGTCAAATTGTCATATCCAGAGTTTCTTTTTCAAGGTACAAAATGATTCCATTGAAAAACTGCTCCACTTCCAAAGCTAATGATCCTAGCAGATTATTGAGGTGGACAAGAGCTAAAAAACAACCCATCCAGTTACATCTTACATCTACACAAGATTTGTGCTTCTATATTCATTTTCTTCATAATTTTAGCTAATCAACATATTGGTTCCATCCTCACCCAGTAAATGTAAGTCGTAACGTTCAAAACTAAGTCTCCAAGTTTACAATGTAGAGGCTAGATTGTTTTATTCAGTACTTTCTTGTGTGTATAGTTTGATATGGCTTCTTCACAACCGTACTCTCTGGTGATGACACGGAGACTTCCTAAACCAAAGCACTCACATCGTCTTACTTGTCTTTATTCCTACTTTCACATTTCTTATTGAGAGGAATGGTTTGTTCTTGCAGGCATTAGTAGCAGTATCGAAAGTTGAGGTCAACTTCCCTCCACTCCCACCACCATAATAAGTTAGTTAGGGGGAAAACAAAGAAACAAATCATAAAAAAAACATCGAATGATCGAGAAAATTCAAGCAAAAGAGTAAGCTATGTCACGACTTCAACCATTTGCTACAATGTAACAAGAGCATGAGAAAATGTCATATACTAAAATCAATCGGTCTCTAAGAAGAGTGGCATTCATGCAATGATTTTGGTTAGAGTGATTACAGAGATAGGCGACTCTGGCATTTTCAGTCTCAATCTCGTTGGCCACACGGAGAATGGGGGCAATGGAGGCGAGCGACGATGGCACTAGCTCACTGTCAATACCGGGATTGTCCTCGGACAACTCAACCAACCGAGTGGGCGTTCGCGTGACCCGCCGAGACAAGGAACGAGGCGGGCCCACCTCGTTCTTGCTCCCACTGGAACTCGCCATAACTTGGCTTGGCAAACCAACTCAGCAATCTGGTAATTCTTCCAGCTGATGGATTTGGTAAAGCAGTCGAATTTTCAGTAGGTGTGGTTGAGTGTAAGTTTGTGGGAATGCGGAAGAAAGAGGGGAGGAGCATGTTTATGCAGTATAGAAGAAGGAAGCGGAGAGATGCTTTGAGTGTGAGGTGGGGAAATCGGAAGGGGGGGAACTTTTGGATTGCTCCGAGACTAAGAAAAGAATTGGAACTGTACGTTGGATGATTGAAATGCTTTGGAGTTGGAGAAGGAATTGAGGGCGAAAAGGGTGCAATGCAAAGAGCGGGCAGTATGGGTGTCAAATGGCCGCTTTAGCTTTAGCTGATGCTTTTGGGGAAGAAGACAGAGCCCTTTCAGTAATTTGTGTACCTCGCTTTTCTCGGGTTGGAGACAGAATGGATCAGAGAAGAAGCTTTGAAGAACAACAGTGATGTTTCAGACTTGCTTTTATTTTGCTCTCTCGCTCCTTTTTTCTGGCGCCAACAGCCAAGAAGGTGAGCTTTTTTTCCCTTTTTTTTTTTTTTTTTTTTTTTAGTCCAAGGAATATGAACTTTCTGAACTTGCATAATTACCCACCTAATTTAAAGGGAAATTATAAGATTCAATATTATTTTTTTTTTCATTCTCTATCTATTTATTTAATTTTAGTCGAAAAATTCGAAATTGGATCTTTTTAGCCCAAGGTTCAGTCAATTCCATTTACCCTCGTAGATATTGTTTGCTTTGGTTAGTTACATATCGGTCAGCCTCACGAAAACGTATCTACTAGGTTTCCACGCTCTTATACTCTTATAGCGAATATTTCGTTATTCTCTCCAACTAATGTGAAATCTCACAATCCACCCCCTTGGAGCCCTGGTGTCAGAGTCATACTTGTCCAAGGCATGTTGCCCATGGCCGCATGCTCGTGACACGTCGAAACCCTGCCTTGTACTACTTTATTGCTTTCTTTTACCGCTTTCATGTTGTACTATTTCTTTTTGTTTTCTTTAAGAGTATGACGTTTTGGCAAAGTCATGGCTACGCTTGGTAGATATGAAATGCCTTAAAATGTACGGTAAGGAGATGAGATTAGTTGTCAAATTCTCCCTACCCGAAAAAGTTATATACTGTTTAAGTCGTTGTTACTTTTTTTTTTCTTGTATGCTATATAACACACACACACACACTCTCCCTCGCTTTCAAAACTCTTTTTCCAAAACCTCTCTCCCCTCGCTTTCTAAATTCTTCTCTTGAAATTGAGACCCGAGGTTTATATTCCGTTCTTCGACCATAGACAACGTGACTTGAAGTAGGCTTGACTCACTCAGTGTTGAGAGTGAGTGCCGCACAATCGCCAATTCCACTACCTAGAAATCACGATTGTGACACCTAGCGTCTATGTTGGCTCTTGTAACAGTCCAGATCCACCGCTAGCAGATAAAGTCTTCTTTAACCCGTTACGTATTGTCGTCAGCCTAATGATTTTAAATACATTTACCAAAAAAAGGATTCAACACCCTTATCATAAATGTTTCATTATCCTCCTCAACCGTGTGAAATCTCATATCTGTGGTTCATATTGGACCTAGGATAGCTAGATTTATGATTGTGACCATAAACATAAAATAAAAATTACATTCTTTTGTCATATTAGATATATTTTAGATATAACTTACAATTTTTTTACGATATAATAGACAATTTGAACGGAAGACTTGCAAACATATAAAAATGCGAGGAATTGAATGGAAGCATAGAATTAGATAACAAAATTTATTTATTAATACAAAGAAAAGAGAATAATACACAATGATAAGAAGGCGTATGTAATAAAAGAATAACAAAAAATAAATAAATGGGTCTCATCACTCTTAGAACACACAGTCCAACACCCAGCAGCAACACAACGCAGCACAGCTACAAAACACACATCAACCACAACCACAAGTTTAGTCAATCAATCATATCTAACTAAACCAAAATATTATGAACTAATAAAACTTAGAGACTGACCATCCTTTCCAGAACCCATCTCCCCTAGACTGCGTTTGTGGCGTAGAAGTTTGGCGAGGCTCCTCTGGGCCGTCTCTCACCGGATACCCAACCGGTGGTGGAGCTGCAACATAAGGCCCCGCCTCTAACTTACTGCCCATTTCTTGACTCATCACCCGGTAACCAAGCTGAGAATTGCAGAGAAACGATGGAGTTTACGAATGGGATTCGAATGCAAGTTAGGAGAAGCCATGGCGTTTGCATATATATATATATGTGTGAATAAATTGTGTGTGAAAACAGAAGATTCATGGAAATGGAAGCAACGCCAAAGGGCGGTGGAATCATTCATACAGAGCTGAACAAATTTCATCAAACGCGTTTCTGGAAGTTTCTTGAAAGGTCTTACCATCCCCCTTTTTCTTCGAACTTTTTCCCGCCAATGACGTGGACGTCTGGTATTGGTCAGGCCGGTTTGACTATTATTCATACATGGGCCAGACGGGCTTGGGTTGGAGAGGTTAATTGGGGCTTCACACTAGTTCGGCCCAAGCCCAGATATATACAATTTAGGCAAATATACCCAAGATGTTGTTACTTTTTCATCATTGTCGCGAGTGGCGACAGCTATGAAACTGATGTTTTTTTTTGGGTTTTTCTTCAGTGAAAGAAAAGGTGGGAAATATATGATGGACATGGGCATCAATTTCAAAGCAGATAAAATAATAATAATTAAAAAAAAAAAAAAAAGAGAGAAAAAAAGCCGGCTTAGTTTTAGTCAAAAGGACAAGAGAAAGAAGGTGGGAAGCAAGCTCTTGGGGTATCAATAAAGTCGTAAAAATGCTACAACTCGTGGGTAGCCGCCCAACTTTGAAATATGTAAAAAGGGACACAAAAATCCCAGTACCTGAATTATCCATTATTATCATCATTATTATTAATAAATGGATGAAATTAAAAAAAAATAATAATAAATAAGATTTGGTATGGAGGTGGGGACAATTAAAAATAGGGTTATAGGGGGGCATTGATTAAAAGCGAGTACAGAAAATGAGAGGTGCCAAAAAGATTGCCATATATGCGCCTTCATTTTGACACACTGCCACATTATTGCATTGGAAAATGTATAATTATTATTTTATTTTTATTTTAAATTTTGGAATTCACTTCACTGCCTCTTATAAACAATCGGCTGTCAGTGGGTGTAAAGAAAGGAAAGATACAGTAAAGAAAAAAAAAAAAACAGAGGAGAGGGTACGACGTAGCAGAGTAAAGGCCCCACTTTTAACACAAAATGCCCAAAATCCAAGTCGGTGGAAGCAGTAAAAAAAATAGGGGAAATGGGTGGTGGGGTTAATACCAAAAAAGAGAAAAACCGCCATAATTGAAGAGGATAGAAACAGGGAATTTTTATTGTCCTTACCTGACACAAAATGTTTTACTAATTAAACCAACAAACAAAATATAAAAAAGAAGTAAATTTTAATATATATTCATATTCCCTCCGAAGTTGTCCATTTCAAATCTAAATTTTAATTGAATAATAATATTTAAAATAAAATAAAAAAGTAGAGGCTCCACAGAACAGAAGCAGACATCACGACGACTACATCGTCTGCCCAAAATCCAAAACATGAGAGAGAAAACACAAGCAGGAAAAAGACATACACGCCCTTCCTTTTTTTTCTTTTCTTTTTCTTTTTCTTTTTATTTTATTTTATTAATTTTCTCTCTCCGTGTCTCTGTGGAGTTGGAAATCTAAATAATGACATTTGACAGAGACGACTGAAGTCGGACATATTCAAAGGTTGTTTTTATATGTTTGTGGAGTGGATGAACGAGATTCCCATTTTCAATTTCCTTTTTTGTTTCTTTATTTCTTTATTTTATCAAAAAAAAAGAGAAAGAAATCTGGTCATAATATTGGGTTGCGAGTGACTCAACCCCCACATGAAATAATCCCAACATCACGAAATTTCCCTTCATGTCCTGACAAACTAAAGTGTGAGATGGGGTAATAATGGAGCTACAGCAACACCCAACAAGCACAAAAAGCACCAAAAAAATAAAACGGTTCATTATTCGGTCCACCCCCTACTTTTTCCATACCTTTATTCAAGTTTTACAATAAAGTTGAGTCAGTGTTATCAAATTATGTACTTTCCCCACTTTATATTTACTTCATTAATAACTTTATAATTTCCTTCCATTCATCTTCTCCCTCTTTTTTTTATTTTTTATTTTCTAAATGATGTACCCATTGTGGACAGAATAAAACATCAGACCCCATCCCTTTTGTATTCATAATTAAAGTGTATACAAACATATAAAACTTCATGCCCCTCTCACTATTCACTTCCCAACTTATATATAAAGTGTTTAAATTTTAATTAATTCAAAATCTGAATAATGTAATAATTACGATTTTATATCCCAACGAGGATAAGAGAGAGAAAATAAATTAATGATTAGAGAAACAGAATTGGGGACAGGATTCGAACCGTTGAGCGCAGGATTAGCTGTGTGTGTAATTGAGAAAGCAAGATGCTGGTTCTATGGGATTTTAATTTAATTTATCATTATCAGATTAGACTTTTTTTTTTCCTTCTTCTTTTTTTCTTTTTTAGGACAAATTATTTTAGTTGCCGTATGTCAATTCCAAACATATATTAATTATAATATATAGTCTGCGGGGAGAAACGTAGTTGCCTCCAAGCTAGGAAGCTTTCATGAAATTATATCGGTTAGCTGAGTTGTCCTATATTTTCCACATTTTTTTTTAATTTATTATTTATTTAATTGCCAGATTTCAATAATAATAATAATAATTAATGAAATTAGCTTCATGCCACCCTCTTCCTCTCCCTCTATCTATTCAATTTAATTAAAAATAGATGGCTACCAATTAGTTCTCAATTTAATTCCCTGTAGACATACCTTTCACCATTGATTTTTATTTCATAAACATTATACATCATTTGATGCATTTTGCTTACTCCCTTTAATTTGTTGGGTTTCTATGACTTCCTCTACACTTTTCATACGTAACGGTGACATACAGTGACTATGTCATCAAACTTAGCGTAAAGGGTAAGTCTAGCTGTCACTCCTTCCAATTATGCCATCGATGCCTGCAAATTAAGTTGACTAACTTACTCGACGGTTATAGCGAGTGTTGTACAATCGTTTTGTGCTCTATTCTCATATTGGTTACTTAGTCTGTTATGTTATATTTGACATCCATAATTTAGTTAAAATATTGAATTCATAATTTTCAGGATTATATTAAATATCTAATACGTCTCTCTAACATATTTGGCAACTAAAACGAACCTTACTTTATATTTAAGTTTTTTCTTGCTTATTTGGTAGGCAAAACCGTCCTGTTGTCGCTTACTTGCGTTGAGCGAAAAAGTAAGAAAAGTAGCGTCGTCGATTAGTTAGTCTATTAATGATATGAAACAAAATAAACCAACTTTATTGAAGTAGGGGAGTCAAATTAGACATTTGAAAATATTAGTAAACAAACCCAAAATTGCTCCGAGAAAAATTATATTCAAACATTTGTTTCTTTTTCCATAACGAGGGAGAAAATCAAGAAAAATATCAAGGATAATACAAAGAGATTAAGGAAGTAAAATTTCCAATGGGCTAGTATTACAACGGAGGTGCAGGGGAGAGAGTGTGAGGTGGCAGGCATGGAGTTTAATCCGCGTGAGGGCGAGGGTGACGTGGCGGGTGGAAAAGTTACATGGGGTGTGGGGGTTTCCCATGGGAGAAGCGTGATTCATGAATCGCACTGTCCGCGAAACGGAACCTGGAAGAAGCAGCCAAGCACACCACCCGGGTACACCGTACTCTCCTCCCAACGGCCACTGACCCCTCCATCAGTGGGACCCACCATTGGCACTTCCCACGTGGCGGCTTAGACTGAGGCCCTAGTGTCCATTCGCTACGTGCCATATTCCTACCTTGTCAGTTATCTAAGTTACTTAAGAACCAGGATTAAGATAACCCATGCATTAATCCCGGAAGTGCCCCTCATCATTCCACTAATTTACGCCCTTCACCATTTATTATTATTATTATTAAGCAGGTAGAAGAGTCAAAACGCAACCCAACCTCGTTCACGTTCTCCTAACCGAATCCAGAAATAGACAACTCCGAACCAAAATAAAAATAAAAAATAATAAAAAAAATAAAATTAATTTATTCGTTTTCAATCACCTTTTTGTAAACAAGGCAACCCCTAAATAAACCCCACCATACGCCTTGCTTCCTTGATTGCGTTTGCATGTCCTCTCTCTCCTCCAATTTTCCCCATTCCTCTCTCTCTCTCTCCCTTAGGATAAGAATCCAGGATTGCGCTTCTGTTTTGCAACAATTTTCTCAACACAATCTCAGACTTCTTCTGAAATTCTACTCTCTCTCTCTCTCTCAATCTCAATCTCATGGCTGTTGAAGCTCGCCATCTGAATCTCTTCCATCCTCAACTAATAGGAGGAAACAGGTATGTATGACTATGAATCGATATCTATGTTCAACTTCTTGTCATTGTTGCTTTTGTTTGTGATTCTAATGATGGCGATTGTGGATTTACAGAGAATTGATGAATCCTATTGAAGGAGATGCTAATTTGTATAACAGTCAGATGGGATATGGAGTTCCATTAGTATCAGGAACAACAACTACAGAGACTCTTCTTCCGGCTTACAATTCTGTGATCGTTGATTCCTCTGTTTCCCCCAAAACTGCTGCACCGTCTGCGGCTATCAAATCCGATAGCGGCCTTACCTTTAACTACAACAGCAACCTCTCTATCCCAAGAAAGCGCTCTAGAGAATGTATGAATATCAACCCATTCGCTTCCTCCTATCCCTCCCCACCGACTTCCAAGTCTTGCGGGTCTTTCTCCTTTCTTGGAGAAGACCTCTCGCTCCAGATCTATCAACAACAACTCGATATCGACCGTTTAATTTCTCAACACGTAAGCGTACAATTGTTGTGATTCCATTTGTGTTTTTGAATGAATGAATTCGTTTTGGATTTGGAACTGATAACTGATTTTGTTTTTGCAGTTGGAGAAGGTGAGATCAGAAGTGGAGGAGAGGCGGAAGAGGCAAGCGAGGAGGATAATCGAAGCGATTGAAGTGAGTGTGATGAAGAAGCTAAAAGCGAAAGAGGAAGAGGTGGAGAAGATGAGTAAATTGAATTTGGCATTAGAGGAAAGAGTGAAGACTTTGAATATAGAGAATGAGGTGTGGCGCGATATGGCGCAAACGAACGAAGCTGCTGTGAATACCCTGAGAACCAACCTGGAACAAGTCCTGCGCCAAGCGAAGGAAGATCGAAAGAACGGCGGAGTCGGAAAGCGAGAGGCATTGGTGGAGGACGCGCAGTCAAGCTGCGGGAGCAACGAGGAGGAAGAGAAGGAGGAGGAAGAGGAAGAGGAAGTAGAAGGAAGGTGGCGCGTGGTGAAATCCAAGACAGTGAAAAGGAATAATAAGGGGAGCAATAGGAAAAATGGCGGTGAAGAAAGGGGGAGCAGCAGCAGCAGCAGCAGCAGCAGCAAGGGCAGCAACAGGATGTGCAGAAACTGCGGGAAAGAGGAATCGAGTGTGCTGCTATTGCCGTGCAGGCATCTGTGCCTGTGTACTGTTTGTGGGTCATCAGTCCACACATGCCCCATCTGTAAATCCACAAAAAACGGTAGTGTACATGTAAACATGTGCTAGATGAAAGGGGGTCGGTCTGGAACCGAACCGAACCGAACCGACCGAACCCCCCACACACATCCTCTCCCCCACCTAAACGGCCTCTACTAACTAGAGTGTTTTCATGAAAAGAAGAAAAAAAAAATACACATTTTGTTGAGAGGCTTTGTTTGTTCCACAGGAAATACATTATTTTGGTGAAAATTAGAGCATATTTGGTTTGGTTTGGTTAATTACGTGGGGTCCAATGGGCATATATTATTATTTATTATTATAGGATAGGGGATTGGATTATAGAAAGAAAGAAGAAAGGGAGAGGTGTGAGAGAGGGAGGGGAAAGGTGACACGTGAAAGTGTGTGGTAAATGAGGGTATTAGGGGACAAGTGTAATGAGAGAGAGGAGAGGAGGCCCTTCGCTTTCTGATTGTGCACTGTCCGCCCTCCCACCACTTTTCCTTCCAAAAATATTATTTATTTTTAAAAATATTTATTTATGTTGGTACAAAAAGACAAATAAATAGATGGGGATACAGACACGCCAATTCGTGGTCTTTCTTTTTCGATGCTCCCGCCCATTTACTTTTATAATATTTGTTTGAAATCTTTCCTTGTGATGTGAACTGTTGCGTAATCCATACGACGTGTCATTTTCCTTTTTTTAAATTTCTTTCTTTTGTTTTTGGCGTTTGCCAGTTTTTCACAATTATTCATCTTTTTGTTATATGGAATTAAATTATAGGATACGAGTAGGAGGTTGCTTATGTAGCACCCCCACGTGGAACTCACGTGATTCCTTCCACTCACGAAACTCTCAACCCTCTTTGGATTCACCGAAACCGAAACCGAAACCAAAACCAAAAGGCATCCCAATCCAGCGAATCTACGTCACATTTTTGTTCATCTCAATTCTCAAATTAAAAAAGAAATATATATATATATATATATTATTAGAGTGTTAGTGTAGGCCCCCACCATGTGTCCCTTTATGACCGGCATGCCCCTCCATTGCCCGTGAATCTCATTCCTCCACTCTTTTCCTTACACTTTCAATCTCATTATTTATTCCTTCAACCAAATCACCCATATATTTCTTTTTCCTTTTTTCTCTTTATTCTAGTAACTAAGCTATATGCCTTTTCCCCTTCCCTGTTACATTTTTGTTATTAAAACAACAACAATAAATAAATAAAAACTAAAAGGGTACTGTATTGTTGTATGCCTAGGAATCTAATAACCCAACACTTCACTCAAATCCTTAATTTATATGATTTGAATAAGGTGCCTTGTCAAACTCCCTTCCTTTTCAATCCCATTATTAATCAACACAGTTCTTTAAAAATTAAGAGAGAGAAAAAAAGTGGGAAATAGTTTATAGACTGGACGTTGGGCTGCACAAGCAATGCTCAATAATTAATGAGTGGAATTGAAATTTCAGGTGGGGTGAGCATGGGTTTGTTTTAAAATAATATTATTAAACAAGGATGATGCTCCAAATCTTTGGTTAATTGAAATTAAATAAGAATAAGAATAATGATGAATGTGTCACGAGCACAGCCTAACACGATGGAGTAATTAAATGAATTAAATAAAAAACAGAAAGTTGGGGGATTATGGAGTAATTAAATTAATGGTAATGGGGCATCATTAATGCTGCCCTCCACTCTCACCATATAAATCAAACTTATGCGATTCAGACTATCTAACATGTTTGGAGTTTTTTTCCCCTCTAATAAAATCAACATGATTTGATTCTTAATAAGGAAAGCATCTTATTTTGTTTGTTTATTTATTTATTTATTCTGTGTTTTGTTCAATGGCAGCGCCACGCATCTGGCTTTGGAATCCCCTCTTTTCCTTTTCCTTTTCTTTTTCCACCAAAAGCCTCCCACTTTTTTTATTTTTATAACTTCAATGATCGTAAATACGTTTGAATAATGTTGTATTTTATTTAAATGATTTTTCACAAACTTGATAAATTTTAAACTCGTCCACATGCATCGTCGTCAATCTCAACGTTTTAAAATGCATCTACTAGAGAGAGTGGAAGGCGGGTAGAAGAGGGTGATAAATAATTTGAATAAAGGTGGGTGGTATTCCTTTTCCATCAATGTTGTTGGCAGTGAGTATGATAATAGTGATAGAATAATGATGATAATGATAATAATAATACCCATAAGAAACTAGAAACCGAAAAACCCCACAATTTGTCTTTCCCTTTTTCAAAAAATACCCCACTTTTGAAATCCCTTTAGATTAGAGTTCCAAAACAAAAAGATCCCACACTCATAATATATCATACATATTCTGAAGGTAAATGCCTCTGATAATCATCATCATCATCCTCTTGCATTTTTGTATGTCCACACCATGGGGCCTACCCACCCCCACTTCCCAAATTTATGTGTATTTCTGTATCATATGTCACTTTGGAGAATTTTGATTTGAAATCACCTAATTAATGAAATCTCTATCTCCATCTGCACCTGTGTTTGGATGGACCCATTTTGGCATTTTCTCCTTTGCCCCACAAAAATTAAAAAAAAAACAAACAAACAAACAAACGTACTTACTTAGTGTATTAATATGTAAATTAAAACCAAGTTTGTGTTAACTAACCCCCCACTAAACTATGTATCCAATATAATATCATAAAATGTCAAAATCTTATCTTATCTTTATATGGTACAAATATGGTGGGTTTGGACCATTTCATTCAATCTCTGTCCTATGAATCCAAAACCCATAATTGCGTCCTCATGCCCTAATGAACCCACCTTCCCATTCTCCCCCCCCCCCCCCC